TTGCGTTAGACTAATCTTGACGAGAAACTAGTCGATGATACTGCAAGAAAATTTTCAATTTTTACATTAAATTTATATTTGTAGCCTGAAGAAGTGTAAGAGCGTGGATGGGCCAATTATAAAGAAGAAACATAAAAGTATTCGTACATCGAGAACGCGAAGATTGAAAGTGCCCAAAGTCCCCGATAAAATTGTCGATATTGTTAATATCCTGCAGCATGAAAAGTTCCTGGAAATGGTCGATCGATACTTCAAACCGGTCACTAACAAGCAACCGCGCAGAAGATCGCAATCGAAGAAGTTGAATATGCCTGAAAATTCTGATAGCAATATTGGAGTGTCTACGTCTACTGATTTTGACGTTAACGTTTTGTAATTTGTTTTAGAAAATTATTAAAGGACGAAAAAAAATTTTTACTCGTTTCTATATCCTTTCGCAAAAATTTCAAAAATCAGACTCCTCAAGAAACTACTTAAAAAATTTTTTTATTCGATAATTGAATTCTCCAATTGATTATTTAAATATGCACTAGTTTTCGTTGTCCTTGCTTAATTTTAATTTGTTGCAAAAAGTTGCATCTGCTTCTCTCCATAAAAAATTTCAAATATCAAGGTCCACCATGGGCTGTCGAAAAATATTGTTTAAATAGAATCGTATTTTATTGTACATCTTATGAACACATTCGCGCGAAACATCTCATTCCACGCTATCAAAAATATGTGTGAATCTTTTATTTACAACAAGATTAGCGCTATTAGACATAATGATAGAGTATGCTACTTATATCGTAGGTGAAATAATTGTCTTACTTACAAAATTAATAAAGAAGCGTTTCTTTTTCTGTTACCAACTGATGAAACTAAAGACACAGACTGTTCTAAACATAACAAGGAACTTCAAATACTTCAAACACCGCCATACTTCTGTTGAAGCCACTCAGATTATCTATGTCCATTTTTTCTCAATCAAAGCTTGCTCTCAGTATCATCATAGATCATTGCTGGATTGGTGGCTGCCCATTTTTCTTTAAACACCAATTCTTCCTTCTTCGGCCTATTTTTCAAGCTTTGAACGCCAGCATAATGCTCCTCTATCTCCTGCAGGGACCTGCCCTCTGTTTCTGGTAGTATAAAGTGTAGTAAAATGCCTCCAAATAAGTTAATTAAAGCGTAGAAGAAGAATGTGCCAGCCAGAGACATTCCATTCACCATGTAGAGAAACACCTTGTTGGCTATGGAGTTCCAAATGTAGCCTATGGAGCCAGCAGCCCCTGTAGCACTGCTTCGTACCTAGAAAAAGTCAAAATAATGCTCAACAGGTGAAAGAAATTCTTAAACACAATTCTGCGTCCAAAAATGTGAAGAAAATGAAGAATAAAAAAGTTGCGATCGACACTTCATTTTTGAGTTATGAAAGGTTAAAGAAGTGGTCCAAGAGCGCTTGGAAACAGGCAACCCGCCGTACATAGATGACTGTAAAGTAAATCAATAGATAGGGGCACAGTCGTGGTAGAGAAAAATGGCACAGGGCTACTAATTTAGGTTGTGAACGCTGTGACAAGATTTGCCTCGCTTTTGATAACATCAGCACCATATTTTCATTATGGGGATTGCACTCGCCAGTGTATGACGGGTTACAATGTCCCGGGGGCCACATTTTCGTTATTTTCGATGTTCTTCTTATCTTAGAAACACCTGGAACACCTGAAGGGCTCTTAAAAAGTATAAACTCACATTCACAGGGAACACTTCAGCAGCCAAGATCCAAGGAAGCAACCTAATCCCAGCATGTGACAGGAAGGCGGCTCCAATCATCAAAGTAGTCGGCAACCAGGTTAAACTTTCAGCGTTCACAATGTGATTGTCATTCAAATAACCATAAATGGCCGCCAGACCGAAGCTAAGGCCAGTGCCGCCAATAGACACGAAGGTCAACAATCGTTTGCCAGTGAAATGGATGGCAAACACGCAGATCACTGTTCCTAGCAATTCAGCCAGGCCAAGGAATACTGCAGCTGTGTACTCCTCGATGGGTGCATGGAGTCTCACGAAGATTATCACAGCGAAGGTTTGAAGAGTGATGGTACCACCAAAGGATCCAATAAAGAAGGCACACGTGACCAGCAAGAAGGGAGCGTAGAAGGTTCTTTTGCTAAAGGACTTCCAGGTCTTTTCTCTAGCTTCTGCTGGCTTGCAGACCTCCTGGTAGATGGAGTCAAACTCTGGCTTCACCTGACATGGATTCACCCAGCCTCTGAGCCAGCAAAGGGCCTGCTCTGCGTCTTTCTGGCGACCTCTTGCTGAAAGATTTTCATTTGGGCATCTGAGTGTATGAATGTAGACCTTGATTGTGGTAAAAGTTGTACATTTTGTGAAATACAGTAGGTGGGTAGTGAAACTTATATTAAAGTTGAACTCTGACGATGATAAGATTCAAAGATTGTCTGTTGAGACACGTAGATGTTCTAACTATGTGCCCAAGTGATTATTAGTTCAATTTTAATTTGCGGATTTCATCAGAGGAGCCTGGTCAATCTTTGTCATAGAGGTAGACAGGGTACCAATGAGTCAATAGAGATTTTTGACGAGTCTAATAGTGTGATGCTAATCGTAACTAGGAAAATTGGGTCCTATTTAGATATCCAAGTGATAACTGGCCCAATCTTGACTTATACACTTAATTACATAAAGTTAACCAATAATTGTGATCAGGATACCCACAATATTTTGATCAGAAAGCCAATAGGTGTTACCTATTCGTGCCACAAAAATCAAGTCCCAATTAAGTATCCAGTTGACGAAAGTTTTCGTTAATTGAAATTACCAAGCAGAATTCCACTTACCAAGAAGCCAATAGGGACTCTCAGGCACCATACAGAGAGCAAGGAAACAGACAAGTGGATAGGCAATATTGATCAACGCCACAGTCCTCCAGTTGGCCAATTTTCCACTCAGCATCTGAGTAAATATCCCTAGGATCACAGACATGCTGGATGTGGCTGACAGCATGCCTCTAAGATGAGGTTGCGTCACTTCACCTACATAGGTCATCACAGGTGCCTCCAAGAGGCCTCCAGTTAAACCTGTCATGGCCAAAGCTATGAATAGCATCCCAGCAGTGGAAGAATAATAAAATATCAGCCAGGCTATTATGAAGGGAACTGTGGTCAACATCATAGTCTTCTTTCTTCCTATACATTGTGACAATGGTCCACTGGCAAAGCAACCGATGGGTACCAAGAACAGGTTTAGGCTACCTAACAGACACGAGGACAATTTTCAGAATTTTTTTTATTGAACGGTAGTTAGACAAGAGGGAATTATGGTGGAATCTTACTGATCCACGTTAGTTCCTCCATAGTGACTGGGATTTCTGAGTCTTGCTTCTGCAATTCGGGGATCAAGATGGTGGAGAAGCCCAGCGTGGAACCGAAAGTGATCATCAGGAGATTCTTCGCGCTGACCGCGCAAAATTGTGGGAAAGCCTGGCGGAGCTTCGATATTGGAAAAGTCTCGACGGTGCCGTTTAATTCAGCCGGAGATCTTTTCTCCTCGCACCTAGAACGCAAACAGAGAGTGTGGAAGGCTGGGTCCGGTGAAAAGTGTTTTGATAAAAGTGGAGTCCACCAGATGGAAATTCTGGTTGGTAGAAGAAATTCTTATCGAGACAACTAGGTTACATTGAATTTTATTTTCTGCATTTCTCCATCCCTCTATACTTTCATTTTTGCTTTGGCTTTGAATTTTGTAATTTTTTAAGTTCGATCCTCTGATTTCTTTTCTTCTGCTTTTTAATTTTTTCAAACTGTACTTTTATCTCCTCTTCTCAATAATAATTTTTCGACGATTCGCTATCAGTTTGTTATGATTTCTGTGCATAGAATAGGTTCAAGGTAAGATTCTCAACGAGATGATGACTCAAACGAGTGTCACATAAATTGATTGATCTATGATCGACAAGATGATCGATTCGGGTCAACGATCATAGTTCCCCAAGCTCAAAGAAACCGATAGTTTTTTCCCTCCTCTAGTTAAACTGGGTTAATAGCGGCTACGCAATTCGTTATTCAATCGGGAATTAAGTTTCAAACATTCCTGTTCGTGCAGATCGAAACCACATAGCATATGTCGAATGCATACTTTAAAATCTTCGAACGTGTTGTTATTATGTCTAATATAATTCCAGAAATATTCTTAGAACCAAAAAGATGTTACACTGAGCACCTCACTTAGATACTCCCAAATATTTCTTTTTGTCAATGTTTAAGCTTCGAGATTTATATTGTAAAATAAAAAAAAAAAAAAAATTAAGTGGACAATTCTTTGCAATTTTTAAACTTGGAAAATTGTACTTAAGCGAAGAGATATTTTTACCAGAGAAATATTCAAATTTTCACGGTTTGTATTTTTACCTCAGCAGTGAAGAAAATGAACCTTTTTGTACATATATGGAATCAAAGAGAAATCACGCTGTTCATTCACGTGCATGTGGATAACTGTTGTGTGTTTTCGTCATTGACACAGTTCTTTTCAGCGTGAAAGGAACCACCACACTGAGCGATTCCTATTACGTAAGCATTGGTGCACGTTCTCTTGGCTTTGCGTAATTTTGAGTGTCGATCTTTGAACAGGTGGATTCATTTGACGTGCAGAATTAACCATACCGCCGTTAATTTGCAATTTTTCGCCAATTTTACTACCGATATGAAAATTGAAAATAAAATTCTATTTTGTGAATTTTTCAATTTTCAATTGCAACACTAATTCTGTAAATTTTCATCTTTCCCGAAATTTTCTCTTCCCTGAAGTATCGTAATTAGAATTGAAAAGACTGAGTTCAATTTTCAAAAATTCAAAATGAAATTTTACACTGAATTTATCTTTCATTTGGAATATTATATTTATCATTTTTTTTTAGCTATTTTTAAATTCCATTTGATAATTGTTCTTAATTTGTTTGCAATAGATTATGCCACGAGAAATGTTTGGAGAAAGCAAAAAGCAAATAACATTGAAACTCCAAATGAGATCACCATCTTATCATTTCCTCCTAATATTATCACCGAAGAATTCGAAAAACGATATATCCGTACAGTCGAAATATCGCAGATGTTCAAAGTTCAGTACTGAATGCAACCAGATCTTTCTTCAAACAAAATCCTTAATTAAACTTCGTGGACATTGCGGTCGATGAAATCCAGCGTGTAAATATCTCCATTTCCTTCGTTTCGTAAAACAATCAACCCTCAATTTTATCAATTTTAACATGCATGAGATATCGACGATTTCAAACGATTTCAAAATGAAGAAGTGAGCTATAGTGGGAAATAGAGAAAATGAAAAACTGAGCTCTAGTGATCGCTTACAAGGGAACTTCGGTAACCCGAAATGTTCGATTGTTTTGAAACTTTGTGGGTTTGTAAGGGATCTCGAGAGAAGTATCGAGCAATTTTTTTTTCGCCCAATTTCGGTTCTTCGGGGTGAAAACAGCCCTTGAATGAAGATAAGTGTTACCTTATTTCCCTGTATATCTTTAAAACTATATCGACAAATATGTCAAATAAATGCAGATAAATACCAAAATGCCAAGAAAAAAGATGAAAAAAAAGAAATACCAAAGATTCGCACATATATACTTAGTACCTGATAACGCATCGTTCCAAGTGCGACGATGACACACACAAAGCACGTATCAATTAAAATTATTTAAATATCACACTATTCGATAAGATTAACATATTTATTTGCATTTATTTGACATATTTTTCGATATGATAGAAAACTAAAAATTTTTCATAACGGTAGTGGAAGATTTTTTATTTAAAAGAATTTTTCTTAATTTAATAGCACAGTCTTATAAAGCATAAAAAGCCATTAAATTTCTATTCTAAACATTTTTTTATATCTACGATAGTTTTAAAGATATACAGGGAAATAGGGTAACACTTATCTTCATTCAAGGGCTGTTTTCACCCGGAAAAACCGAAATTGGGCCAAAAAAATTGCCCGATACTTCTCTCGAGGTCCCCTACAAACCCACAAAGTTTCAAAAAAATCGGACATTTCGGGTTACCGAAGTTCCCTTGTTAGTACATACACTGGGTGATCAAATTGTTAGAGCCACCTCTAAGAAATTGACGGTTTTCCATTATAACGATTAATTTTCAGATGAAAACCTAGTTATACCGATTCTCATAATTTTTTTTACGAAGCGTTCATGTTTACAAATTACAAATATACACATGGCAACACTTTAGGCAATATTATCTGTCGTATGGACGTTATTTTGTATCAGTACTGCAAATTGCCACTTGAGAATCACGTGTTACAGTTTTCTTGGTTTATAGATCTGGAGCATTTTAATTTTCGTTGCAGTGTTTTCACTACTCATAACGCACAGTAAATTACGTAAAATGTATCGAAAAAAGAGTCAAGGCTGTAATTGCTACCAAATACCAACTTTATCGTTACTTCTTAACTGTATTTTTTATAACTACATAAGTATCTTCAGTTAGCAATCGTTAATTAAAAATTATCCAGCGTGAAAACCTTGATATTGTGATTTTATTTTTACACCGAAATAAAAGCACATATTTCTCGCATCGTGTCTCTAATAATTTGGTCACCCACTGTATAGTGAAAAATGGAGAACACGAACAAGTGATCTACAGCGATCACGTAGAACAGTGGGAAATGGAGAAACGTGATTTATAATGATTACGTTCCATCCTGAATTTCCTCACTGGGAAAGGCTCTAATCTCAGGTGTTGCGCGATGATGCGAGCGGTTGCATGTGAAAGGAAAAGTGGCACGTGTACATAGATAAAACCGCAAACGGAATTAAAGCTCGAGGGCGTTCGCCCGTATTATGGGATTAGCGAGAATAACTCTCGTTCTGGCCTGCTGCATTCTTATCGCCCTAACGCGGTAACGAGTGCAACGTCCCTGTCGTTTCTGCACCGGACAATCCCAGAAACGGCCATTTTTTACCGATTCGTAGCCACTTCTAACGAACGGATTTCAGTGAAGCAAAAAAATAACGGATTAGACGGTCTCCGGCTCTCCAGATGATTTATCACGCCCATTGACAAGCTAGAAGATAATCCTCCGATAGTTTTCCAACGTATAGGGGAAAAGAAATTTTTTTCCAAAGAATTTTTTGATCAGGTGATACAGTAAATTCTCCACAAGTGTCAGTCCGCAAGGAAGCTAAACCTGACACTTGTAGAGTCTTTTTTTTAAGCATAATACTATAATCCTATGTTTAAAATGTATTTTCTTGTGGCCGCCTGACAGCAACCTGTAAATCTGGCGCGACAGTGAACGTGTTAATAAGTAAATGTTGTTCAAATTATATCGTGTTTGATCTCATTTTCATCAGAAAAATCTCACCAACATGTTAAAAAAAATTTCAGATGAAAAAAAGGAATATTAAAGAAATTATATTTTTCTATTATGATTTTAAAAGAAACCGAGTGGTGTAGCGTTACACGTTTGACTGACAGCGAGCGAGATAACATAGGCGTAGCAATGACGCAGATCTAGGCGTAGGACCATCTATACTGACACTTGTAGAATCCAAACTGTCTGACACTTGTGGAGAATTTACTGTACTTTCACTTTGTCGATAAAACATCAACTGTGTTTCTTTCGAAATATGCACCGAAGGTAGAATTTTGTAGATGGCCACATTATTTGTACGAACCTGTACATAGTTGCACGTGTATTTTATTATTTTTTTTTTTTTTTTTTTTTAGGTAAATGAATTGAAAATCGCGGAGTTGGTCATAATTTTGAAATAAATCTCTAAATATCAAAAATATCACAATCAAAATCTCTGAATATCAAAAATATCAAAATCAAAATCTCTGAATACCAAAAATATTAGGGTCAAGCACTTCTCCTTTGCACTGGAGACTGAAATAAAAATTCGAATTATCTTCGAAGTGATTTTTTGTAAATCGAAAAGTATAATATTGGACATGCTTCTTTTTTTTATAGATGAACTTGTACAAACAAATCGTACTGTCACTTTCCGCGCAGATATTAACACTCCTACAGCATTCATAATGCACGAGTTCCTTATCACGGAACTGAGAACGTAAGTGCCGATACAGCTAACATAATAATGATCTTAAGTAAAGCCTGAAACGACTCACGCACGTCAAATGATAGTGTGCGTTCCCATATTACAAAAAAAAAATATTTACGATATATAAAAATGTTTTTTTTTTTCATACAAATGTCTTTTATCTATTAGACTGCAGTAAATCATACAAAAGACACCCGATTAATCGATTTATCGATCGACTACAACTGACAGGACTTAATCTCCTTAATCCAACATAGAATTATAAATGACAGGCAATAATTTATAGCTAGCACAGTGTTTTTCTTTTTTCTTTTCGAGTAATCTTTTCCTGTGTTTTGAGTCACCCTGTATATCTACTTTATGGGCACACCTCAAGAGTATGTACTACGTCCTTCGTGATTGTATTTCACGATGTCACACAATTTGTACTATTAGGTCATCCCATAAGTTCGTGTCGAATTTTATAATTTAGATTCATATTTCCAACGAACCTTTCAATTTGATAAAAAGAACGTAAGCATCTTCTCATTCCACAACTTGTGTCTATCTTTTTTTTTTTTTATAAGACCATTATGTCGTCGATATAGAATTACCTTGGACTTTCATTAAAATATTTTTCGCTTTCGGCACGAACTTACGAAATGACCTAATACTTAACCTCGTTAAGAATTCTTAATAATCAGCGGACAAAGTGAAAATTGTTAATTTTGAATTTAATTGAGAAAAAAAAAGAAAAATAATAGAATTTTTTTTCTCTGACCATTAAAAATTATTTTAATTCTCATTCGTGCACATCGTTATACTAAAGCATCATTCATAATCGTTAACTGCATTCATTATGACTGACCGTCAAGGTAAAACTTTGACACAGTACGATTTGTGAAAAATAAAAGAATTTTCTCGCATAATTATCATACGAAAGGAAAAGCTATAGTTCAGGTGAAATTGCGGTCGTTGTCACTTATCACCAGCTCGCGTCAGCAGCTTTACGATTTTACTTTCTCGCTAAATCACCATTTATGATGATCTTTATTCACTGATAACAGCACCAAGATTTCTGATAAGGAGATCAAAGAAATGAGCTGATCAAACGTTTCAAAACTACGCGGAATTTTCTTAATCTTGTCCACGTGCTCCGCTATTCACCTACTTTCTCGAAATGCGCGCTTCTTTCGAAGCTCGAAATTTCTTCGAAATATACGAAGAATTTTTCGATTTGGAAAAAACGAAGATTAACATTTTTTTATTCTTTCGTATAGGCACTATGGCGAAAATAAAAATTTTTGTCGTAGCCTGTTAACACTAGGTTTACGGATGTTCCTTATACCTATACCTAATGAACGAAACCGCATATTTCCTTTTTTTCTTTCAAAGCAACTTATTTTATTTACAAACAACGTATTATTCATTATTAATGTATAAATGAATGTTAATATGAAGAATATATTTATATAAAATTTATAATAAGCATAAGTGGTAGGAGAGATATGTAAACGGTTTCTGTCATTTTCCTAGTGAAATTCGAAATGAGTCAAAATGGCGCGTAAACCTAGTGTTAATGCTCGAAGCTTCTTCGAAATATACGACGATTTTACCTACTTGGAAAAAACGAAAGTTATCATTTTGTTCTCCTTGTGTATAAATTCTAAAGTGAGAATCAAAATTTTTGTCGTAGCCTGTTAAGTTCGAAGCTCGATCTCGGAGTTCGATCTCGAAAATTTCGAATATAATCTTCCTTTATTATCGTACACGAGAAGTACGACGAGAATAAGTATTTTTGATACGGTCAATTAAAGTGTCGTTTGTAATTTATGTTTAACTTTATTCACGTTTTCATCACCATATTAAAGAGGAAATAATTACGCTATTATGTAGCCCCAAGGACGGCGAAGCAGAAATTGTTCAACTCGTCGAAATGAGATTCTACCACGATTGATCAATGTTTAAATAATTCCTCGCCTCGTTTATATATCTCTGTGGCATCTATGAAAGGAAAAAAAACGAGGATTGTCACGCGAATCGATTTGAAATTTAATTCAACGCTTCCTCGAACACCGGAATCCACGTTTATGCAACGAGTCACGACAAACTTACCGGCTCGTCTTCTCTGACACGTTTGAAAATTGCAATTTAATGTTGGTAAATGACGTTTAATGAAATCATTTCAAGTAACGGGAATCAGATTGTACGATTGTGTAATAAATGTTTGCAGGGATTGTTGGAGTACCAGCAAAAAAAAAAAAAAAACGAGGATAATCTGGCAAGAGTAGTTGTAAAGTGTTTCAGCAGAAACTTTAAATAGGTTACTCAACTTGTTAGCATCAAACGGAGAGAAAATATTGTTGTAATTATTGTATTCTTGCTGAAGAATTCTAACAGCTGTTGTTGATCTTCGTTCTAATTGTCGCTCTTTTTTAAATAAACTCGTATCGAAAAGCACTCTTTTGGTATACAGAATAAAATGAAAATTAATAGATCAATTAAGTGATTGATAATTTGAAAAATTAAACAACGATAGAAAATTTACTACTTTCGTTTTTCCATAGAATTCTGAATTTCAGTTTCTGCAGACTATTTTTATTGTTACTTTTCATATTAAAAAAATTCACCCGAGATAACGTTGTTTCTGGATATCGCTCTTATCTTTTTATGCTATTTTTCATTTTTCTTCTCTACGTTAGATAGATATTACCCGAAAAAGCATGCTTTTTAATAGCTGTACAATTGCAACTGATTATATGAAAGATGTTAATTAAAGGTCTGTCGAGACACGTCTGACGATCGATCGTTTACAGAGAATTTCTTGTCGCGATTCAATGCCCAACTGTACAGAAGAATGAATAATATTGTTGGAAGCATCGTCGCGGAACCCGTCACAAACATAAACTAAAATGGTAGAAGAACGCATGAAAAGAATTATCCAAGGTCTGCTTGCAATGGTATTCAACGAGAGAAACCAAGCACCGCATTTCCACGCATTTTTCCATTAAAATTACTTCCTACATGCTTCGATTCACCTTTTCATTTCCACCGACGCTGACTTCTTCGAGATGAAATGCTCTCAGAGATTTTCAACTTCAATTTTTTCTATTATTTTCAAACTTCGACGTTTATTCGACGTTCAATTTTTCCTGTTTTTGAAAATTAGGAAATTTTACGTGTTCATTTTTCAATTGTATTAAATGGCCAAATGTTGAAATTTTGAAATATTTAAGTATTTGGAAATGTTTCATTTTAACCTCTTCAGGGACGATTCTTTTAAAGTTAGAAAATATTGATCTAATTTTCTATGTAGTTGAAGTATGTTAAATCGATAGCAATTAAACTACTTTCCTTGGGAGATTTTTCGAGATTTCGGGAGATTGTGTTTTTCATATTTTCTCTATCGCAAATGTTGGAATTTTCGGAAAATCTAAAGGTACACATACACTACCGGCCAAAAATTTGGAATCACTGAGCATTGCAATTTACTTTGATAACTTTTTATCATTCGAATCAATTGATATGAGATAAATTGATAAATGTAGAATTGAGATAAACTTCAAATCTATAAAAATGTTAGCAGCAGATTTAATATTGATGAAAAGTGGGAGGTGATTCCAAGCTTTTGGCCGGTAGTGTACGTGTCGGTGTCCCTGAAGAGGTTAAATCTCTTGATCCTTGAACCTTTTGAATTTTTAGAAATTTACATTCTCGAATATCCGAATTTTCCTATTATTCGGTGACGATCGAATTTTTCAATCTGACAAGTTTCGATTTCGAAAATTGTCGAATTTCTGAATTTTCAGGCTTCCCGAATCTTTGGATCCTCAGCTTTGAAATTTTCTACTTCGTTACTACGAAACCTTCGAACTCTGAAAACCAATTAACAGTAACGTGTACTCAGCGATAAATGATTCTTCCGTATTGACAAGCAAAGAGTATATGTACTAGAAAAGTTGTGAAAACGAATTCATTCACGTGACATGAAACACGAAATATTATCGCGTTACATAACGATGTGTAATAAACTTGAGAATATTTCTGTCGTTCGGAGAAACAAAGGCTGTAGGTGTCGATTCTTACTCCTACAATGAGAATTTTCGCCAGATACGAAAAAGATACGATTTTCCATTTAACAACCACAAACTAGTCACTAGCAAATCGACAGACTTTTTTAAAAGCCAACAAAAAAAACAACGTTATTTTCTATTTGTGAGAGAAGTTAAATAAATTGCAGTTTCCTCTTGAAAAACACTTAATTTTTCTAATTTGCTCGAAACTAAATGTTATCTAATTTGAACGAAGTATCACACCGGCTACTTTTTCTTTTCAAGTAACGAGAGTTCCAATAAAAAAAAAGTTCCTACGATAATTGTTTTCTTTGCAATAAAAAGGCCATTAAATGCACTGCTTGGAGATAAGCCGTAAGTCGTGTCTGAATCGATATTAATCGCTCGACAAAACAAACTGAACGATAAGACTGTTATTCTGCGTCACTAATCGCTGCTTTTTCCAGTTCTCCAGCAACCAGAAATATTGAAAAAAAAAAAAGAGAAAACGAACTCAAAAAATTGAAACAAAATGATAATGAATTCTTCGTTTAAACTTCAATTATTAACAAAAAATAATAAACAAAATTTCCTTTATCGGTTTCATTTCCTGTAAATTATGTAATTTCTTGTGTTTCAAAGTACAGACAAAGAAAAGCCACTAAAAATGATAAAAAAAAAAATTTTCAAATTACCCGGCAGCGTCATTGTTTCCATTCAGCGCCATTTTGGATGATCGACAGGATACTCTTGATCACACTGTTCCGAATTTTTTATTTCTCACACTTGCATTCCTTCTTATAAAAGACATTCGAAAAACATTCGAAGAATTTGAAGAATCTCAGTAACGAGATATCAATGTCAACATCTTGCTTGTTCTGGCGATAAAAAAAAAAAAGAAAATCCCTTTTCTCTTTTTGTTAAGACAAAAATTCTTCGTGAATGAATAATAGGTTGTCAATAAAAACAATTGAAAAAAAAAATACTTAAAATTTATTCTTCCTTTTCCTTTCAAAAATTTTCACCAATTTTCCATCCTTTTCTTTTTTTTCCAGCGAATAAATTTCCTCTTCGGTCTCTCAAGCTTATTTAAAACACCAATTTCACAGGTAAACTAAAAACAGCTAGCCAAGATACTCTACAACTTTGATCCTTTCTCTTTCCAAGCTCACCTTCGCCAACGAGACCTCCCTTTCCACACGAGTCCCAATATCTCACCAGCAGGATCACACGAAACACTCTTCAAACTTCAAATAACCCGGTCCAAGAAGAAGCTCGTCTATCGTTCACCAACAATGCTTCTTCCATGATCTTGAAGGAACTCCGGTCGAAAAATCCACCAGTTGTCAGCTCTACTTCTATTCCAGTCCCTGAACTGTCAAATCTAGGCAAACAATCTGAGACAATAGCAGCTTACCGCCGGATTATCTTCCTCTTTCTCTCATCTCCTCTTCCTCCTTTCTTTTTATCTCAGAAAGTGACCAAGTATTTGCACTTCCTTCGTATTAGAGGAGAGACCGACTAGTCCTGCTCGGGACTGTTGTCAAACACACTAAACGGCCAACGAAAGGGAACAACTTAAAGAGTACTTTCCGATTCCTCCTCCTACGGACACATTTGCACGACTGCTTTCACGAACTGGTACATGTGACCTGTCCCCCTCTGTTCACCAGCCCAGGCTGCTGTTATTACACCTTGCCTGACGAATAGTCGCGTTTTTGAGCTGATCGGGGATAGTTCTGACGATAATCCTCTTTTCGAGTTGGATACTGATACGGTGGAAGGAGGTGACAGTGAGAGTAGAGATAGAATGGACACCCTTTGAGTGGGTGAAATGGGCTTGGGCTGATAGAGGATGATGGGAAGCATAATTGAGTCATTTGAAGTGGTACAAAGTGGTTCTTGAGGATTTGTCCATGGAAACTTCCCTTTTAGGTGCTTGGTAAAATAAATTTTCTGTGATGTTGGTTTGGAATGTTTGCTGGTGATGTAAGTAGCTCAGTTGGAAATTATTGGATTCTCTTTGGTGAACTTAATGTTGATGTTCCATGATATGGTAGTAGAGATACATTTGAGGCTGTAGAGTGATCAAATTTAAATTATTTAATTATTTAAAGTGCAATAATGTTGCATTCATTTGGAGTTATAGGTAGTTTAAACTGAGTCATACAGCGATGAAAATTACTTCTTGAAAATCCATTATAAAAAGACTACCCTTTAATGTTTTAACATTCACCACAGTAGTTTAGAGAATGAACATTCCATAATATTGCACTGAGTCATACCAGGTCCCATAATTGTTCCCAAAACATTCCACTGAGATCCATTCAATACACCTTCTATGCAACCTTTTTAATTTAAGAAGCTTTAATTAAATGTGCACTTCCTGGCTACATTTTATTCAAGGCACGTGTATTCTCTGAAACAACAATTTATATCTGAATAATCCATTGTTCTGATAATCAAATAATGTGAAATATCAGTTATTTGCTCTGTACTCAAGAGTCAAACTGCTCGGGCAACTTGAATTAATCAGTAATTATCACTAGATTACATCAGATAGAAGTTGAACCCTTTTATTTGGAATAGAAACACTGATACTATCTTCATGGTAAGATAATTGTTGGCCATGGAAAATTTTATGCCCACGATAATAGCATTTCCAAAGTGTTAATTATCTTCCTTGATATAGAGTTAATATTTTCAATGGTGGCAAGCAACAGGTGTCAAGAGTGATAATTAACACTTTATTTATGAATATATGAATTTCTTTTCTGATGCTGATAAATCCAGTAAATTTTGTATACATAATAATTCCCTATCTTATTAAGCTTGTATAATTAGTTTCTCAAGTCTTGATTGTGATTTACATGTAATTAAAAGTCCCACGTCAATGATTAATCCTGTTCTATCCCCTCCAAAAAGCTCTGAGAAATACTTGGCAATCGCAGTGAAAGCATCGTTCACGTAACACGACACTCCTCTATGTTAAACATCTCCAGATGAGAATACCACATTCTGTTATATAAAATTCAAGTACACTTTATCATACAGCACAAATATACTCTCTCTTGAGTGCTGTTCAGATAAAGACTAGTCAGCTTATCAGCCTTTAAGATCAAAATCAATTACACTCTAGTATCTGAAATTTATCAATTGTAGCATATCATTAACATTCAACTGTGCTACCTATCTGTTTTCAACTAATCTTCTACGCATTTGTCCTGTTTAATATTAACAATACACCTGTTATTTATTTTTCCATGAATATTCATGAATCTCTTTGATGTCAATAAAGAACCCTTTCGCTGACTGTTACTTAATTTTATTTTAATCTTACACTTAATGTTAATTGGAAAATATGGTACTATCAATAATAATAAATGTATATGTGCCAAGAGAGGGATAATGCGATACTAAGTGACACTTGTTGCCTATCAAGAACAGTGGAAGATTAACATTTACGCACGTTTTCTGATCATGGAATTATATTTCATCTCTAATATCGTCCATTGATCTCCTAACTCGTCATTGTTAAAGCGACTTCTTATCATTTTACATTCGTCGACAGGTCAACAAAACAACGTAATCCTAGTCAATAGGAAAGTTCCATCATACACTATTATTATATGTTATAATGTATTACATTTCTTACTTAAGACATAGTGGTTTCTTTCAATAATTAGAAAAACCTCTTCAGAGAAGCTTCAAATTCGATATTTACACTATCGTTCATAAATATTGAGACACTTATTGTATATGAAGCGAAGTTAAACAAAATGATTAAGATCCAAAAATAAGAATCTCGTAATATAAACGTTTTTCAATGACACATGTACTCTTTCTTCGCAGTTTTTAAGATATTCACTTCCGAACGAGGGTCAAGAAAATTTGGAAAATCGAGGAAAAATTGCTCAAATTTCAAATGGTTAAAGTTGAAAATAGAATTTTTCGAATAGAGTATTAAAATCTAGCGAAGAAATATAATTTAAATTGTATACTTTCTGTACGAACATAACGGGCGTTATAATAATTATGAACAGCAACGTATTTCGTTGATTCAGAAGGAAAAGGTGAGAAGGATCTTGTACGTTGAAGCGGGAGCAAAAGCACGAAGGTAAATCGAGGTCTAGTAAATGTGAGAATTTATTAAGAACGGTATATCTGGTGTACGACACATTTGCACATGTTAAATTAAATAAATATAAAAATCACGCGGAGTCCTAAAATGAACGTTAGCCAGCCAACTGCGCCGTTAAAAGCACTTTGCGTGTTTTTTTTTTCTTTTCTTTTCTTTCTCTCGTTTAACACGTTGATCGCCGCATTTCGCGGCTCGTCATATGCCGCGCAGATCGGATCAGAATCACCGTATAATTTACTTCATTCTTTTGTGTATACAGTCTGTGTATACAATCGTATACAGTCAAGGCCAGAAGGACACCCTAAAAAAGTTTTGAAAAAATTGCAATTGGTCGGAATCGCGAAGGCCGCTTTTTACAACATTTTTATCTGAGCTCGTAATGAAAATTAAAAAAAAAAACATGCTGAAAATTTCATGGAAATCGGTTAACGTTGCTATGAGCTACAAACAGAAATTGAATCTCTGTAGTTTATAATTTAATAATGAGTAAGAATTATAGCCAATTACTTTCTTTTCATTCTTGCAAATGTGAATATGATGTAATTTACGTCCAATACACGCATAACAGTACAATTAAAAATGAATAATCCCTCAATAAATAAATTATTGTATTCCAAGCATTGGCTAACCGATGACGAGTTAACTCGTCTTACACAGTTAAGCGGTTAAAGATGGTGAAAATTGCAGATTCTCACGACTTTAACTGTCTATAACTGTAACAAATCTAAAAATTCTTGACATCTTCCGATGCTTGTCGCTTGTTTCCGCATTAACCGGTTTAACTGGCATAAATCTACAAAACGTATGTTTTAAATTTTCATTACAAACTCAGCTAAAAAAATTGTAAATAGCGACCTTCGCTATTTTCCTCGCGATTCCGACTAATTGCAATTTTTTCAAAAATTTTTTTACATGTCATGCAGTAAACTGATTCTTCTAACGTCTTTAAAAAGCTCAAGTCGTTTGGTCAAATTTTAAAAAAGTTCTTCTGTTTTGAAGGGTGTTCACATATTTCTGTTCTTAACTGTATGTACATTCTTTAAATATGTCATTACTAATGGTCTATAAAATCAAATTTTTAAATCCTATCATTAAGTGTCAACAATTGACACGCGATTACATGTGAAAGCCATATGCGCCTGTCGAAGTCGGACGGCACGGCGGTCAACGTGTTAAATAACTTTCTATGAATTACGAGCGTGTCATGATTCGATATGATTTACAACTTTGGTTAAGAAAAATATATACCTCTATTATTAATGACCGAACGCTAGTTGCCTCGAACAGGGTATCAGAAAATAAAAGTGACTTATCGATACAAATCGTCATACAGTTCAGTCTAAAGGCGTATAGATCACTATCGTTTCAACATTCACTTCATAACAAACATGCCAAACTTCAAAATCACTGAAAGGATGATCACATCGATTAACCGCATACATATCAAAAATGAAAAATTGAAAAGTCATTGGACCCTTTGAGAATTCCATTTTCACGAGTTTCTTGTTATGCAAATAGAAGTCCAAGTACGACTATGTATATCACAATCACTGGAAGCGTAGACATTAGCGTATAGCTGGTAGAAGCAATATAGCGTAGTCGTAAGTTAAAGCATCAAGGGCGGAGTACACTTAGAAAAATAAGCGATATTTAACAATTTCTTTCTGGCTAAACTAGTAAAGACATCCTAATATTTCCTTTTTTATAGAATGGGGCATCCTTTTAGTACAATAAAAAAATTTTCTTCAATTTAACTTTCAATACTGTTATTGTAAATTCTATATATTAAATTAGCACTGTCGGTAATGTACTTCTGGTTGGCTTACAGACTAACACCTGTCAAAACGACTTCAAAGCAAATAATTTTTAATAAGAAAAAAAAAACGAAAACTTCAAAGTATTACACTGTTTTGAAGAAAAAGTCAGTCTTTCTACCAAAGAAATTGGTTTTATATGGTTTATAAAAACACTGTAAACAAAGATGAAATATCGATTGTAGGTTCTTTGTTATTTTTATGAATTTGTCCTTAATATTGTAGGGTTGTATTTTTCAGATGTTGTACTTTCACTTTATGAAAAAAAAAAAAAAAAAAAGTTTTTTGATACTTTTAAACTGTAATCGCCCTTTAAGATTCGACTTTCTTGTCTCCCTTGAAACTGTTACTTCGATGCTCGAATCACATGTACTTGACGCCTGACTAATTTTACGACCTTACTACTACATCGCTTCCATCGATTATACAAAAGTAACATTGAACTTTCCTTAACTCTTTTGTGACCAAATTACTCTTTCTTAAGAATTTCTTATTGATCTACCGATCCTCGTGTTCACGATGGATCCTAGATTGTGATTAATTTTTGTTCGAATACTTAGGTGTGATCTAAGCGTCTTACTTATCACGAAAGTGTAAAATAAAGAGACAAGAAGAAAATGTTATATTTCATATAAAATTTATGAATTCTCCACCCAGATGTACATCTGGTTAATCATGATGAGGAATCCTTTCTATAACGTTAAACACTCTCTTCAACAACGATTCTATAATATAGTTTCACACAAGGACTTGATTGAGACGCTTTTGTACACAATTTTTCTCTCAGACCAACAACTTGGTGTTCATTCAGAAAACAGAATAAAACATCGATCTCAACATGCACACTTTGTATCGTCGTATGAGTGCATCCCTTACATAAAATGTGTCTTAAAACGCACGTATTCCTTCTTCGAACTACAATGAATCACGAAACCAAAAGAGATGCTTTGCTCACACTCGTTTAATTCTTTTACGTTGACGCGTTTATATACATGTATACACATATATGTATGATATGTATATATACATATATGTATATAATATGTAAAGTAGGACCCATTTTAGTTCGTTCGAGAACAACGATTCTCCTTACAAAAATAGACCGCTAAAGCTAAACAAGACTAAACGTTTTTTATCTTTTTGTTTCTTTCCCTTCACTTAATACATGGGATATTAAATATCCAAATCCTCTGGTTAAAGAGTTCCGTTTTCGAGAGTCCAGCCACACTCAACGAGAACTCCTGATAACGCGAGGTTCATGTTCACTCTTCGATTGAGGCACTAAATGATTCAACATTTAGCGTACACTTCTTTCTTTCTTTTTCTTCTAATTAATCGTAAGTTCGAAAATGCCTTCCGGTCGATGTTACGTATAAGGGCTACGTAGCAGAAGACTGAGATCTGTTTCTCTTCAAATTACCGTAGTCCTTTACTGCAACGTTCCTTTATTTAGCTGGACTAAATAAAGTCGGCATATAAAGGCACTCTTAGACCGTGATGCGTAACGTAACGATGTCGCATTTTTCTTTTCTCAATTTTCATTCTAATCTCTGAACAGAATTCTTTTTTCCTCGTTAAATCACGCATATCGTTTTTTTTTTTTACAACGCAGAAATGAAAGCCCAGCATGCCTGCGTTCGAACAGCACCGGTTTAACAAATGCAGCTTCTCTATTTCTATCTGTTCTCTTTTCTTCTTTTTTCTAGATCTCTTAAAATTGATGGAAAAAAAAAGGAAAGAAGGAACGACGCCCTATGAAAGTGCTCCTAAATCGCGCCGCGAAAGAAAAACGGATGCCTCGAAATGTAGCACAGCCATTCTTGTTTTAGACAATGAACAGAGATACGAGGATTTAATTGTCTAAAAATATGATTTTTTTTTATCTTGTGTGCTCTCGTGCCTCCGTGTGTATCGAGTTAGTATTTCGTCGAAAAGTACAAGCATACGCTTTTATGTTTTCTTCTTTTTTTTTTCTTTTTTGCATTAACTGTATATGTCACGACAGAGTAGAAATATATTAAGGCGCAACCATGATGCAGTTAATAATGTAAAAAATTCATATGAAAACGCGCGCACGTGTGTGTGTGTGTGTGTGTGTGTGTACGATGATTTTTAAAATGTAAAATGTACGTCGTGTAAAAATCTGTATCCCCATAAGCGGTAAGGACTTTGCTCGGTTATTTAAAATTAAATAAGAAACGAAACAGAGCTATGTACAACGGTGCATTATACAAATCTCTTAGTCTAGCTTGTCAGAGACCAACGGGAACCTGACTATCCGCAATTGGCGACCAAAGTCGCACACTACGCTATCCCTTAACGCTAACATTTGCTTTACGAAAATACAACTATCCTTGTGGCCCAATCTCACTTCGCGCACAGGCTCTCCTGTTCTGACGTCCCAAACTACTAATGATCCCTGTAATTGCAATTTAATTTACGATTAACGAACATCCTTTATTTTTATTTTTTTTCATTTTCAGAGAATCCAAGCTGAGAATCGAAACGATATTCATAATACCTGGATCATGAGATAAAGAAGAAGAAGAAAAGGGAAGATGACATACCTGATTGCTGGTTATGAGTAGATGATGAGTTAACATAACTAACTGAAGACTATAGGCTGATCTGTGTGCTGGAAGAGCATGTAGTAAGTGACCCTGAAATCGTTCCCACACACATAACCTTTCATCGGTACCGATGCTTATCACATACGACACGGAACACGTAATAGCTGCCACAGCACCGTCATGGGCTTGTATACTGTACATGCATGTTCCTGTGAACAAATGAAAGTAACTTTATAAACTTACTGACTGTACTGTGATACATTTATGTGAGAATATTTATAACAAGTCAGAGTATGCTAAAGCTTCAGGAGTGATAAAGGAATGTTTAAGCCAGAGCGGTACACGTGTGAACGAAGAGTTTAGTCCAGAGTACTGTTTAATATACAACAATCTCTACATTTATCTAGAAATTGATGTTACTGACGTATGTTAAGAGATTCTAACGTTACTCTCACGTATGTTGCATATTTTGATATGTTATAACTGCATAAAAATTCGCAGTCTAATTATAACATTCCATGGATTATAGGACAAGTACCAGTTAGGAGGTCCCAGACGCACAACAGGCCATCTTGAGATCCACTACCGGACGTCATGGGGCTAATCCTGTCTATGAACAGGCAGGATATGGGACCACAATGGCCATGAAGAGTATACAATGGCAGCTGGTCCTCCAATCTGAAATTTCATAAAAAACATCACAAGTGTTGAACAATTTAGTAGAGATTGTCAAAGGTACATACCTATATACTTTAAGAGTATGATCCTGGCTACCAGTTAAAACGCGACCACCTTCGCTGTCGAGTACGGTTATTGCTTGCTGATGTGCTTTATGAGAACTAATTTTCATGCAACGAAGGTCTTCTTCAGATTGCATGATGTTATTTATATCCATAGGTGAACCAGCACTCCCTGTTCTAACATGGGCTAAAGAAAGAAGAAGAAACAGTGTAAAGAAGGTAAGTATTTTGAAGAGCTTTATGGGCAGACTTACTTCTTCTATAGGATGTGAAACCCCAATCAATTTGTTGACCTTCACTATAACTTTCCAGCTGCAGAAAGTCGATGGAACCGTTTAACTTAGCTGCTACCACTCTGCTGCCTACAAATTTCACGGCGGATATCCCTAATCCTGAACCATCATCGAACAAACACTAAAACATATGTTTTATTACTTATTCTACTTAGAATATTAATTATATATTAATTTCTAATTTTTGGATAATACTCACTTTAAATTTACCTGTAGTACCTTCCCAAAATTCTAGACTCCCATTAGCACAACCCACGACTATCAGGTTCTCCTGATAATCCATGCACCAGATGGGAGACACAATATGCGTGATTTGCATGGTTTTATCTGTGTTCGACGAGGTCACACTATCTACTAAACCGGACGAATTTAAATTTAACCTTCCACTGGGTATGTATAATTGTTCTAGGCTCTCAGATTTCTGTAGCCCGTCTATTGACTTATTGTGCTCCTCGAAGAGATGCCTATAGTGATCACCAAAATCGAAACCATGTTCACAGTTTTTTTGCGTTGGCGTGTACTTCATGGAAGAGAATTTTATATTTATCGCTGAATTTAGGTCAGGAAGATCGTATCCGTTGTCTAGGCTTCTGCGTGCGTTCTTCCTTCTCTCTAGACCGAATTCGTTGATCTGATAATCATAATCTACTGTGTTTCCCATTGAGTACCTTTTATCGCTATTATGGTTCTGTCCCCTTTGCATATTGTACAATCCAGGAGACGATTTTCTGCAGTGGACAGCCGTCGAGTATAATCCAAGCGAATTAGTGTTCTCCATTTCTCCTCTAGAGGGTGGTGAACCACTCTCATAATCTGACATTAACTCATCCACATCCGGCGTTGTGTAATTCAAGCTCCTTTGGGGACTACTGAAGAATTGTTTCCTATCTATATGGACCAATTGTTCACCAGACGTCGCGTCCCACACCCTGATGTGACCAGCCAAACAAGTACTGGCTATGGTGTTACTGTCTGTCGCGATACACTCTACTTCTTGAGTATGCCCCTCAAGAACTAAAGGCAGTGCCTCTAAAACTAATTGCGTGGCTGAATCGTGGGCCTTTTCTGGTTGATACCAGCTAGCCCGCCATTCGGCGTAGTTTCTTGAACAAATACATCTATAGAGAACAACCATTGTATAAGCAACAACAATAACGCTGATTAAACAAAGCACCGCCGCTAAAAATATTTCCATTGGACTTGACGGTATGAAGGGAGCATCCGCGTTAAAACCTCGACCCTCAGATCTGCTTGGTAATTCCATGTCTGTGAATAATATTAAATTCCATAATGAATGCCTAAGATTGGTTAATTATTTTTTAAAATGTATTAACATACCTGAAAAGTCTAAAGGATCAAGGGCAGCAGTTGCCAAACTATGCCACTGAAAATGTTGTACATCATTTGGATTGCTGATTTGTTTTGCTAATTGTGCACTGACTGCATGTGATAGTTTCATAGCAGGTAATATAATGATGCGTCCACCAGCAGCAGAGATGTTGTACATTGAAAGAATTGAAGACCAGTGGTAAAGGGACAAACGATTCCACGGTGGAAAATCCACTGGTCTTAGTTTATTCAATTCTTCAGTAACATTATTGGTTAGATCATTCTAGCGTTTAACAAAATGTGGCACATTAAAACCAATGTTTGAAAAATTGAAAGTAATTAGGCCTACATATTTTTCAAATTACCTGTTTATTCAAATGATCAGGAGCAATGGTTGCAGAAGGCATTGATACTGGTTTCATGGTATTTAATTCAACATAATTATTTAAAGACTGAGATCTGTCTACTGTATATCCTTCCATATCAGACTCTGACTTTAGTGTTTCGCTTAAGTGTATAACATGTTCAACAATCCCAGAATTGTAGATAATCATACTGATCCAGACAACCATCCATACCATAAAGGCACGCTGAAATATTCGTGTTCTTGCCCAGAAATGTACTAGACGCAAACGTTTTGGTATTTTGCCCAATGTATGAGTGTTTTGTGTATTTGGGGCTATGACATTTGTTGGTCCATTGGATAAGCCATTTAATCTTGGATGGGATTTTGATCGGAAAATATTTGGCTTTCTATTAGCTATGGCAGCGGTAAATTGTTGTTTGCGCGTGGTTGGAATATTTGGCATGTGAAATTTGGATGTTTCACTAGATAGTTCTGTCCGTTTAATGTCAATAGCAAGAATTGTCGAAAAGAACACCATTTGAAGAAAGAAGTCATTGACTAATCCCACAATGGCAAATATACAGAACTCTTGAATGGCTGGTACAAAAGTGAACAATCCAATTGTCAAGATTGTTACTTCTGTGAGTAGATTTTTGGTAATAGACCAACCCTCTTTGGACAGGGCTTGAGCAACGCGTATTTTCACATCCAAATGTGCTGGTGTGCTCACTACACTTTTGGTTAACACCAAAACATTTTCCAGTCCTACGATAATTACCAAATATGGGAACACTTCTTTTCCACTTAGACTTAATGTTAAGCCAAAAAAAAAGCATACACCCACAGTCATAGAGAGTGAACTTATCACTGTTACTGTTGCTCCAAATGCTATTCCACACTTTGATTTCACTACCTCTATTTTCCGCACAGAAAAATAGACATAGAAGAACAAAGCAAAGAATGTCATCATTAGTGGGAAAAAGTCACTGTAGTTAAATTCACCAGGATATAGGATGTGCAATGTTTCATCCATTGGTACATAAGTAGCATTATCACTCTCCACTTGGTGAAGATGGTAATAATTTTTTAATCTATGTTGTAATCCTTTTATAAATCTGAAAATCGTATTAGTAAGACAATGTGAATGATAAACCTAATACAATCTTAATGTATGACAAGTAATTACTCACTCAGGATCATAGTCTTTTAAGTAAATAGTGACTGCATATTGTAAAATTCTTTGCCTAAGTCGAATTGGGTACCGTTTTATTCCAGTTTCTTTAAGATTCATCCCAAACATTATTTCAGCTAAACTTATTTTACCCTTTTGTAGATTCTATAATACACAATTATAATAATTATAGAAGGCTATTCTACCCAAAACAGCATAATGATGAATAATTTATTCTGGATTATATTCAATCCACTATTGTCTCTTTAACATTCATACCTGATATGAATATATTGTATTTATAAGATTTGTATCTTGTGCATAGAGTTCAATACTTCTTTGCCATAGATTTGCAGGGGAAAGAACAAGACAATTGTATTCTGGTAAAACTTCTGACTTTTTACCATTTCTTTTTTTAACTGCCTCAACATGTAAGCACACTTGACCAAGTGTTTTTAATCTAGAAGATATAATAAGAATAAAAACCCCCATTCATACATTTATTCTTTTGTTAAACATATGAAACTTACGTTTCTGGATGCTGATAATTTTGTATAATCTCTAAAAGATTAAAAACTTCATAAAGTGGACCCCTAAAAGCATCCATCAATGTTAATTCCTCTGTCCATGGAATAACTCCGACCCTTAATACCACTTGTTGTACATAGAACACAGAGTTTTCTGTGTTGTTTTCAGGTACAATAGTATGATTGATTATAGTCCTTGGCACATTGCCAGGCATTGGTAAATTGACCAAAGGATAGCTAAAGGAAAAAGCAATAATGATATCTTCTCTAGCAATACCCTCTTAAACCATGAATGAATATAAGACATGAGAAAAGTGCTACTAACCAGCATAGTAATACAACTGAGATTGCCAATGAAATGACTGCAATAGGATGAGAGGAGCAAAACAGGCCGTGGGCGTAATATAGCCCCGCCACCCTATCTGGTAAACTACGGAACATTTCACCTTAAGGCTGTCTTACCAACATGTCTTATATCATGTAGATATACATATTGCTAGCATCTGACCTAAGGACATCCGTAAAAGAAGGTCAGTATAAGCTAACATAGGTTTAAAGGCAACAGACTGCGTCACAATTATTGAATAACAAAGAACAACAAATAAAGACCAAGTCAATAAAGTCAATCGCAAGTGTATACGTGATCGGATATACGCAGCATAAAAATATTTATACACAGTGATCAAAGTAAAATAAGAGTAAAACATCCACGTGTTTTTCTCGCGTTATCGGTGGCATTACGTAATTGATACATCACATTTCGATTTACATTTTCTCGAGAATGTGAAAGGGTCAATGACGCGCAAGGTTGCGGCCGCCACCGAATGCGTTTCCGTTCGCGTAAACTCATGACGCAATAACAGAGCAAATAAAAGAACAGAATCGACGAGAATACATGTTGGTCACTTACGTATGCGTGGGACACTAATTATATCATTCCTCTCGGGCCAGTCTTCGTCTCGCTTTACATCGCAGGACTGACGAGCCACAGCAACAAGTGAGACGGTCCCCTTCGTTGACACACAGCCGCTGTTATATGGACATCGTCACCACACTCCTAACATCGTACCATGGAAGATTTTTCAAGGAGTTGCACTTGTAGAAAGAACTTATCCGTATGCACACAATACACGATGCACCGATATCGTACAAACAAAAATATCCCCTGTCACATTAACAACGTTCTTTATGAAATCAACGATGCAACGTAACAGGCAGTCGTCGTAGCGGCTACGTCGAGGAAGAGGTGTTAGTCGCGCGCGATTTCGAGGTTAGGTTCAAACCTTTGTCCCGCACATTCACGCGTAGATAATACTGGAATTGATCCCACGACACGGCGTAAAACTCACAGATCACTCACACGTGCTTCTAACCGCGCGTTATTTCTCGAACAAAGGCGAATGCGGAGGCGAATACAAACGATGCTTGATCGAAAGAAAACGACTTGGAACATACAGGAGCATGTAACCACAGACACGACCGGCGTAAATTCCCTGAGTGCACTGGCCGGTTTCAATTTAACTCGCGCGACACTACACGGAGTGCTGATTTATTTTTAAACGGTTCAGCCGAGCCTCCGACTCACGACCAATCGCAGGTACATTAATGTTATGCAGTCAGACTCCCTTCTCCGTGCCCCCGCCCGTGGTTCTGCCACGCACGTGCTAAAATATTTTATATATCCAGGGATTCAGACCGGCTTCGTGGTTCGTCGTTTCGACGATGATGTTTAAAAGGAAGAATCTCGTAGAGCACCGACGATCGTCCACGGACGAATGAAACTCCGGCTCGATGAAACGTGTGGAAATGCGACTCTTGCGTTTCTACTACTCTGCTTATCTGTTATCGTGGCCAAATTAGTATTTGTTGACAAACCATATTAATTGGCCGCAGAAGAATGTCAATAACGATATTTTTCACGTCGACGACACGTTTTTCGCGTTCGAACATTCGTCGTATGCACTCCAGCCCCGCGAAACGTAAACACGTCATTTTGTATGGAGTAGATACTTATATGAGTCAATATGACGTCTTTTAGTTTTCTTTTCCTCTTTACAGAAATTATTAATTCTTGAGAAAAGTTATAGTCATACTTTTTGTTTCATGCAGTTTCATTTATATAATATTGTTTTTTCTTGAAATATGGAGGAAAGGGTAGGTGATGGATTTACGTAGTAGTGGTGGTAATATTTGATTTTTTTACAAAACTGAAACGATTTATTTTTTATATTTGTGTATTTACAATTATGTAGATTATATTGACATGTTACAGAAGATAAAAAAACCTTTAGGTAGTGTCTGCATTATATAAATTTTCGCGCCAATTTCTGGGTACTTTTTTATTACTATTTTTGCCAACTTGAAATGTTAGTTTTTCCGATTTTCGGTTGCGTGTCGTCGATGTATGTTAATCCGCGTGTTAATAGTGAAAATTGTGTGAGAAAGTAATTGTTATTAACATAATTGTTCGTCGTCCAAGTGCTAAAAATTATGTTAGTTAGTAAAATATATATTTCCAAAAAATCATCAGTAATTTCATTCGTAAAAGTGATTGTCGTTTTGCGCGGGCACGGTGTTAGACTGTCATGTTGAATTTTACACGTACTTTTTATATTTCGTGTAGTGAAGTGCTCTTATAGGCTTAATACGATTATTCAGGCAATCTAGCACCAATAAATCTAAATGGACCAAAGGAAGAAAGAAGTAGGAAGAATGAAATAGTTATTAATTAGCGGAGTGAAAGCCATTGGCGTGGGACCTACGATATGGGTGAGTGAAAATTAAATTTTATTCAAGCATAAAAGCATATTTATAAACATATTTTCATAGTAATTTACTACTATACATTAAATAAACTAATTCAAAATAAAAATCTACTGTATTAATTCGCTAAATAGTTGAATGGCTACGTCAATGCGGTATATTGTCAATTCATACAGAACTCATTCTCCGCGTTAAAAATTAAAAAAAAAACGCCTTTTACAATATTCAAATCAATGAAATTCGTTGAACATTGTTAAATTTTTCAAAATTTCACAGCCTTTTAGAGCTATTTAATTTGAATAACGTTAGACCTTTGAACAAATTATGTAAAAATCGACGTCCTTTCAAGAGCAAACAAAAAGTAAAGGAACGAGAATAATATATATATGTATATGTATATGTATGTACACAAAGCAAATAGGTTAGGAGAAACGTGACGTACTTATGTATTTGCATTCTGTTTATTCGTTCGTCATTTATTCATTCTTACACCAAGATACGCATGGAAAGAATGTCGAAACGGTTTTCAACAGATTATTCATGAATATGGTTTAAGGAAATTCATTTATACCTTAAATTTCCGTTATCGTAATTTTTTACTCATCAGAGCTGGAACACTTTGTCGCGTTAATAGCGCTGCACGTTTATGAGTGACCAAGCTCTATTGCATAACACCCGCGCCATTTGAATTGTTGATTCGAATAATGCAAATTGGATCACTTGCGTGTGCTTCATAAGAAACATCGTTTTCCGCGTAAATTTGAACACGAATTCCAATTCGAAATTTCACCAAATTTTTGAAATTTCAACTACCGTTTAAATTTTTAGCCTGAATTTGAATTTAAATCGAGGTTTATATTTGAAATTAGAGTTACATCTTTGAATTCGAACGTGATTTTAAGTTCGAATTCGAAATAAAATTTAAAAATGCGTCGATATAGTAGATTTCCTTTTTACCCTTGGATAATTTCGTCAATTCTGGAAAAACGTTTTATTTTGTCTAAATTTTCTTGCGTCTTAAGTCACGCTTTCAACGAGTGACGTCGACGTTCAGATTTGCACAGAAATTCCAACTAAGTTTTCGCGAAGAATTTCGAGAATGCAACAGCCTCGGGTAAACACGATAGATTTAACCGAAATGACGGTACAAATAGCTGAGATGTGTCGTCGTGTTCGACACGAGATAGGAACTTGCATCCTCGAACGAGTTCTGGTCATTCGATCCTTTAAGTTGACACTCAATCCGGGATAAAGAAATCGATCCTCACCGCAGATACTCGTAAAATTCATCGGATAGTAATGCAAACTGTATTACGTTCGCGAAAAAATATTCTCGTTTCGTTTTGCTCCCGTTCGTCGACAAGGAAACATCGATGATTGGAAAAGAGACGAGATATCGACCACGTTTTTGTACGATTTTTAATTGCCGCGTATATTCCTTTTACGGTTATCGAACCGAAAATTTTCAACACGGCTTTTGTTTTTCGTTTCGTTCGATAAACCCTGTTATTTCTTATTTCAACCGTTTCACGTATAAATATCAAATATTTTCCATCGCCAGGGAAATATTTCGTTGAGTAACGTTCTCTTTTATTTGCTCAGTTGACCATACTTGTAGGTTATGTATACGCATATGAATTACATACATACATATGCACATGGAAGCATATATTTGTAAAAGATGTGAAAGGTTCTTTTTTATACAAAATGTGAGATAAATATTTCAGATTTAACGGTAAAATATTTTTTTATATCACTTTGAAACAAACAAATATTAAAATTAACAATCTCTTTTGTCGTTATATATTTTACTTGAAGTAGATACTAGAAGCAGTTACACTTTTATGCACGTTTATTTTATAATTTTAATTACGACAACTGTGTTACACTGTGAAAGTGTAAACTTATGTATCCTGTTACATGAACACTGTCACAATCTTTGCGTGGTGTTACATGAACCCACGTTACATGGGAATCTACTGTATTTGCCTTTGGAGAATTCCTCGAAATTTCTGTTGCATTATTCCCTCTCTCTAGTGTAATTGTTAACAAATGAATGTAAATCGTTTCTCTTTGTACTAATGGTAAATGTGATGTTTTCAAATGAAATATGAAATTATGCAACATTAAATTAACGAAGTTTACGGAAGTTTCTTTTTCTTTTCTTTTGACTGACTGACCTATTCAAATGGCGAAGAATTTTTCATAGCGCTGAAAGGGTTGAAGTGGAGGAAGTCTGAATAAAAATGACAATTCAAAAATTGTTATTTCACGTTTTAGAATTGAAATGAAAACATTTCACACGATTACACGATTCCTTTTTTTCCCTTCTTTCTTTATCAGTTCCAAGGCAGAAGTTACGTGTACGTTTCCCATAAATTTTTCTGTCCTAGTTGCGTGCTATCACTTGATATTTCCTGTCGTTAACTTGAAACCGTGACCTTGTATGAAATTACTGTAGTCGAATCGAATCGATTCCAAGCCAAACGGCCTACGAGCCGCGGCGCGCTTCTTGGACAGCCTCTCGACTCTGGTCGACTAATTTCGTGGCCATTCAGTTATTTTTGAGACGTAGGACCTCCTAATCTCGCGACTTCAAACAGAAATGCAAATGGACACGGTGGAAACGTGAAACCGACGACTTCTTCTGAATTTTTTGAAATGAACAAAAAGTAATC